CATTCCAGCCTCCTCCCTCAATGCAAACACTGCCCTCTGTTTTCAGAAACAGGAGCTGGTCCTCATTCAGGCCCGGGGCGGAGAGTGGACCCTCCTGCTGCATTGTGGGAACTGGAGTGCAAGAATAACAAATAAGGTGTTTGACACATGGGCTAGAGGTGGCCATAGGCACAATCCAGTCAACAAGCCAAAGAGATGACCCTAATCATCAATGGACATAACACACACACCCCAAAAAAAACTATCCATGAGAAATCATGACCCTAATCATCAATGGATGTAATACACCCCCCAAAACAACTATCCATGAGAAGTCATGACCCCAATCATCAATGGACATAACACACACCCAAAAACAACTACCTATGAGAAGTCAGACTGGAAAACATTCTCTGCCACTACGGGAACACAAGCAGTGATTCTTACCAGTATTCCCCTCAGCTCGTCCACTGCGCTCTCGGAGCCCTTTAAGGAGTCTGGCTGTAATTCAGAAGGGAAAAAGAAATGACTGATTTGATATTAAAATAGGAAAGATTTAAAACGTGTGTGTGTGTGTGTGTGTGTGTCTGTGTGTGTGTGTGTCTGTGTGTGTGTGTGTCTGTGTGTGTGTGTGTCTGTGTGTGTGTGTGTCTGTGTGTGTGTGTGTCTGTGTGTGTGTGTGTCTGTGTGTGTGTGTGTCTGTGTGTGTGTGTGTCTGTGTGTGTGTGTGTCTGTGTGTGTGTGTGTCTGTGTGTGTGTGTGTCTGTGTGTGTGTGTGTCTGTGTGTGTGTGTGTCTGTGTGTGTGTGTGTCTGTGTGTGTGTGTGTCTGTGTGTGTGTGTGTCTGTGTGTGTGTGTGTCTGTGTGTGTGTGTGTCTGTGTGTGTGTGTGTCTGTGTGTGTGTGTGTCTGTGTGTGTGTGTGTCTGTGTGTGTGTGTGTCTGTGTGTGTGTGTGTCTGTGTGTGTGTGTGTCTGTGTGTGTGTGTGTCTGTGTGTGTGTGTGTCTGTGTGTGTGTGTGTCTGTGTGTGTGTGTGTCTGTGTGTGTGTGTGTCTGTGTGTGTGTGTGTCTGTGTGTGTGTGTGTCTGTGTGTGTGTGTGTCTGTGTGTGTGTGTGTGTGTGTCTGTGTGTGTGTCTGTGTGTCTGTGTCTGTGTGTCTGTGTGTGTGTCTGTGTGTGGGGCGGGGGAAGGAGGGAGGGAGAGAACCACCTATAGTTGATTTTTCTTCCACCATGCAGGTCCCAGGAATCGAAGATGGGTCATCAGGCTTGGTGGCAATGTGCTCTAACCCACTGAGCCATCTTGCTGTCCCCAAATAAAGATTTTTATGTGATAAGTTGTTGGTGATCTTTGTGGGGGTGGGAGGATGTATGTGTCTTTGTTCATGTTTTGTGCACATGAATGTGCACCCATGGGCACAGGACAGCAACTGCCTTCCTTTATTGGTCTGCACCCTTGTGCCTTGTGACAGGTCTCTCAACTGAACATGAAGCTTGGTTTTTTTGGTTTTTTTGCTGACAGTCAGCAAGCCTCCCTGATCCTCCCATGTCTGCACTCTGCTCCACCCCCAGGCTCTACAACGCCCTCCCCACCCTGTGCAGGTACTGGGGTTACAGGCATTTGTGAACTCAGGTCCTCATGCTGGCATGGCAAGCACTCTTACTGAGCCACTTTTCTGACTCCTAGAAATTTATAATCAGCCCCCAATTAAGACTGGGGGGATGGGCGGGGGTTTGCCATTTCAATGATTTTCTGCAGCCACTGAGTAAAAAACATAGAAAGTATATTTAAAGCAAAAAGATTCAGGCCACCTTATTCTAAATACTACAATGCCTCGTGGGTATCATTCTATCTACAAAGGGATTTATTAGTAAATACTAGATTTTAAATATTTGATTTGAAATTATCAGAAATTTTAGTAACAAGCTGTTCTTGACAGAGATTAGATTTCTGCTAGCAAGGAGTGAGAGAGAAGACTCTGCAAGCAGAAAACAAGTGCTGGGCAAAGAATTCCCATGGCTGTCTTAATTCCAGAAAGGCCAGCTGACAGATGGAGGACAAACACGTCAGAAGGACACTACCACCTACAGAAGACTGTTTCCACCTGTGGCTGCTGGAGCCATGAAACCTGACAACCTGAGCTCAATTCTGGGCCCATGTGGTGAAAGGAAAGAACTCTCTCTCTCTCTCTCTCTCTCTCTCTCTCTCTTCTCCACTCACAAAAACACACCAACACCACAACCCCCCAACCACACAAACACCACACGCAAATGTAATAATAAATAATTTTTTTAAAAAAGATTCCCATTTCCATTTTTCAAAATGAGGACGAAATCAGGCTTTGACATTAAACTTTCACAGCCCATGTTTTCTAAGTAATGAGCTCTCCCTCAGTATGAGACAGAAACTCTAATACACTAATTTCAGCCAGGCCAGTTCTACCTAGCAGCAATATCAAGAGATTTGGAAAATGGGCCAGAGAATAATTATCCTCAAGACAGGCTTCCTCTCTTAGGAAAACTGACATGGCACTGGTGTCTTTTGAACCAATGCCCTGCCTAAAGGAATACTCAAAAGTTCTGTGGTGCACCTGCATGGTCCTGGCTGCTGACTGTGACATTCTGGGACTGGTGTTCCTGGGGAAGAGGTTTGGACCTAAGCGCACCCTAACCATGTCAGCAGAGGTTATCGGCCTGGTCACTGCGGGCTCTTCCTACACAGTCTGTTGACAGCCAGTGGTAGCCCAGTGATCCACTGATCCTTCCAGCTCCCTTTCAGACTTTGAGCCCACATGGAATAAGGTTCAATTGTTTGTTTCAATTGTTTGGGGCTGAGAGTAGACACGGAATAGTGGCAGTTAAGATGCTATCTGTTTAATCACAGGTACTCCTCTTTCCTATGCTTCCCGAGTGCTAGGATTGCAGCCATGAACCATGACACCAAGCTCAACATTTTCAGTCTACATTAATTGGATTTTATTAAAATACTGTATTTTTGGCCCAGCGGTGGTGGCACTCGCCTTTAATCCCAGTACTCGGAAGGCAGAGGTATGCAGATGTCTGTGAGTTTGAGGCCAACCCGGTCTAAAGAGGGAGTTCCAGGACAGTCAGAGCTACACAGAGAAACCCTGTCTCAAAAAACAAAACAAAAACTAATACTATATTGTCCTCTAGAAATAGTTTGCTCTCATCTTTTTCACAATAGTTGTGACATAAAAGTAAAAAAAAAAAAAAAAAAAAAAAAAAAAAAAATCTTTGCAAGGTGTCGCCCAAGCCCTTCATTTAAAAAAGTTTTCCTATGTCACTTCAGTTGATCCTCACAATAGTCCCATCGAGTCACATACGGTTGCGGCCGGCTACAGCTTCAGCATCCAAACTCTCTGCAGGATCATTTTACCCAGTTTCCTTCTGTCTCCACCATCCTTTGCTTGGAACCCTGGTTCCAGATCTCCATGGTACGGCTGGCTGAAACTTCTGGCTGCCTAGATGAGAATCTACTCTTTGAGGTGAGTGAAACTTCCCTCTGCAAATCAAGATCTCGATGGCCTCTCCTGCCTTGCCTGGCTGTCTCACCTGCTGGTGACCAAGTGGCAACTTCAGAGGCCCCTTAGAACCTCTACTCTACACTGGGAGTTCAAGAAGTTAAAGGGAATGGCCTTAGGGCTCAGGAGAAGGCTTCAGTGGTAAAGTTCTTGTCTTGTCAGCACATGGACTTGGGTTTGATCTCCAGAACTCATTTGTAAAGAGTTTGGTACAGTGATGTGTGCTTATAATCCCAGCACTGGAGAAGTGGAAACAGGAAAATCCCTGGGGCTTACTAGCCAGCCAGCCAGCCTGACCTAAGCAGCTGTCTCCAGACCAGTGAGATACCCTGTCTCAAAACAAAAACAAAAACAAAAACAAAACAAAACAAACACTGCAGGTGGCATCCCGAGAGAGACTCCTCAGGTTTCCCGTGTCGCTCCCCAAATGCATGAACACGCACACCCACAGACGTGTGCATCTGCACAGACACAGGTGGACAAAAAGGTGCAGATGTGCATTCATGCACACACACAGACAGACAGACAGACACACACACACAGACAGACACACACACACACTCACAGACAGACAGACAGACACACACACAGACACACACACACAGACACACAGACACACAGACAGACACACACACACACACACACACACACACACACACACAGACAAAAGAGAAGCAATCTTAGAAGAAAAACAGAAGCAATTCATGGAGAGTATGATGAACAAGAAAGAAAAGAAGTTTGTCCACATCTCATTAGAATGAGGAAAGAAAGGACTTTTTTTTTTTCAAGAGAAGTCTCAAAAATTATTATTGGGCCTGTTTGAATGTGATAGACAGTCACAGGAGGCAGAGAGGCCTATCTTGGGCTCTCAGTATGGATCCCCTCACTGTGCTTCTTAAGAGGCAGCTGCTGGCATGCAGGCAAACCAGCTTAGACTATCTCTTCTATTTGGATTTAGTTCTCCTCCAATATTACTATGTGGTTCCCCCCCCAACCCCCTTCCCACACACTGAAGCCTCAGGGAGGCAAGGGTGTTGTGTGTCTTATCCCCAGTGCCCACAACAGTATTTGACATAGAGTAGATACTCAGAAACCCACCAGAGAACAAGAAATTGAATTTAAAAAGAGGGATCACAACTGTTAATTGTCTGATATGGTGATATTCATCGACACCCCTCTAAAAGAGATGGTAAAGTTGGACAATAACAAGCACCTTCCAAACCACTTTAGGCTCACCCGAAATCGCAGAGTCCCTCAAAACAGGCTCTTACAGAAGAGAAAGCTTTTTGGACACATTAGTCTTCTAAGCCTTGGCAGTCAGTACTGATGTAGCTAGCTTTCATCAAATTCCCCCCCACCCCTTTTTTTGTTTTTTTTGAAACAGGATTTCTCTGTATTGTTTTAGAGCCTGTCCTGGAACTCCCTCAGTAGACCAGGCTGGCCTCGAACTCACAGAGATCCACCTGCCTCTGCCTCCCGAGTACTAGGATTAAAGGCATGCGCCACCAACGCCCGGCCAAATTCCAGACTTTTATATTAAATAAAAAAAGGAAGGAACTAGAGAGATGGCTGAGCAGTTAAGAGTGCTGGCTGCTCTTTCAGAGGACCAGGGTTTGACTAGCAGCACCCATATGGCAGCTCACAACCACCTGTAACTCCAACTCCAGAAACTCTGACGCCCTCCTCTGGCCTCTTTGGATACCAGACCTGAGCACAGTGCACAGACATACATCATGCAGACAAAATAAGCACCCACGAATACCCACCCCCCCAAAACAGAAAGGGAAACGAGAGAGCAGAATTCGCAGCTGCAGGTACCTTTGCCTTGGGGCTGGCAGTCTGGCTAACTGGTCTGAGATGAACTCCCTTTTTGATTCTGTCCATCATCTCCTCCACTGCTTGTCTCTTCAGGTCTGTGACTTCTTCAGCTGCACGAAGAACACAGACAGAAATCATCTCAGTTATAAGAAACAGCTAATAACTCTTTCTGGTTACTTGGAGACACTGTGCTGTGTAATTGACAGAAATCATTTTTCAGACAGTGGCAGAACACCAATAATTCGCCATGGGCAACAGCTACTCCATGGAAACTCTTAAGTAATATATTTTTTAAATAAGAAAAATTTCTTATCAGAACACTTAAAATTATAACCATCAAAGTCAAGTTTGTAGCATGGAAATCAATAGCTTCTCACCTATGAGAAACAAAATAGACTTGGTTCATTCATTAACACAAGAATAAAACTTGGAGATGTGGCTATCTCTACGTCCCCTCCCCACTCGTGTGTGTGTGTGTGTGTGTGTGTGTGTGTGTGTGTGTGTGTGTATGTGTGTGTTGCACACATGTGGAGATGCCAGGTATCTTCTTCTATTGTTCTCTGCCTTACTGACTTGAGACAGGGTCTCTCACTGAACTTGAAGCTTGTCATTTGGCTAGGCCAGCCAGCCAGGGGGCTCTTAGAATCTGCGTATCTCTGCTCCCCAAATGCTGAGGCATGCAAAAGTTTTTTGTTTGCTTTTTATGGATACGAACTCAGTTCCTCATGTTTATAGAGTGAGCATTCTTAATTAAGCCACCCCCTTAGCCCTGTTGTCTAATTTTTGCCTTGCTTTGTTGTATGTACAGCATTCAGAGAGGATACAAATGAGTTCAACTGAAACCTGTTGACCATTTTTCTCATAAACTTGCTTGACTGAAAATATGGAGTCATTTTGGATCATCTGTCACCATCAAGGTGCTTTTTACACCTATATTATTCCTGGTGAACTTGCTTCAGATGATACATCAAAGCTAGGTTCTACAGAGACCTACCTAATCTGCATGGTCTTTTCTGATTGACTTCCAAAGTCTGGACTTTAGACAGATGTTATATCTGCACTTTTGAGTAGAGATGCCTCAGCCCTACAAAGGCTGCCTTCTAGACGAAGGAGACCATAGAGTATCCTACAACTAATTAGTAGTTTCAGGCCTAACTCATGGCTTCCTTCTTGAGAAAACTTCATGCGGCCTCTGGGTTGCCATTCCCCACCTAAGAAAACGGCAGAATTTAGAAGTTTCCATTATCCTCAAGCCTGCAGCATCAATGGCCGCATCACTGCTACATTCAAAGCATAATCCGACTTCAAAGAAAACTCTGTCCTCAGAAGCTACTAAAAAGCTAAGAATTAAAATGTCCCACTGTGGACCATGTTTCAGAACCAAGCCTCATCTTTTGACGGATGTCTTAGTTACATTTCTCATCGCTGCAACAAAGTATCTGAAAAAGCCACCCGAGGAAGGCTTATTTCAGCTCAGTCCACAGTGAAGTCCATTACCATGGGGAAGTCCAGGCTTCAGGAGTGTGAGCCCCCAGCCACACTGCTGTCAGGGAGCAGAGGATGAAATCTCACTTTCTCCCTTTTATCCAGCCGGAGCCCCACAGTCCTACCCACACATAGGACGGGTCCTCTCTCCTCTTCTAACATAAGCCAGAAACAACTTCTTGGGAGTGCCCAGATGTTTGCTCCTGGGAGAGTCTAGATCTTGTTGAGTTGACAATCAGTATAGCAACCATCACATCAGGCAATATGGGAAACACAATCACCAAAGTTAGAACTCACCAACACATGAAAAATGTTGGATGCTTTGGGCTGATCAACTGGGTGCCCTTAAACAGCAAATTTTTGTTTTTGGGTAGGGGTAGAATTTATTCTGATGGCTCACAAATATCTACAAGGGGACAGACAAGAAATTCGCTCTCACTTACTCCCTTGGTATCCGAACATTGACTGTACTTACATAGTGCTTTTCTGACCCCGTTGAAAAGGAAATAAAAATCAGGTCTTACACATAAGCACCTGGCACAGAATGTGCTTAGTCCTGGGAGCTCAGAAATCAGCTTCAACCCTCCCCCCCCTTTTTTGGTTTTTGTTTTGTTTTGTTTTTCAGAAAGGCTGCCATTTTGAGTGAGACTAGGAAGAGCTGCATGGCAAAGGGAACACCGCCTACAAACAGATTAGCACTCTGCAAGGAATGACTGCAGCCCAAACAAAAACTAATTAAGGCAGACAGATGGAGAATTACGGGCCACACCATTCAAATCTGCTACAGCATCTACCAGCAGGAATTTAAAGTAGTTCCTTATATTTGCTTGCCAGAATCATAGTGATAATTCAGAGAAGTGCCACTATCTGTATTGTGCACAGATTATAAACCAGGCTTTAATTTCTCAGCCCTTTTTCCCAAATATAAAGGCTTAATTGGTCTTAAGAAAAAGAAATCACTCTTATCAGATTCCCTACTCAGGTGAAGCACAAGGGCAGCACTAAGCTAGCTGCACCAGCTTTTCTTCGTCTCACCGACCTGTTTTTGAAATAGCAAAAAGCAATCTATATGAACTTCTGAACTATTAAGAAGTTCTAATAAACTGGCACGAATCACCTACGGAGAGCTCATGGTATGTTTTGTAATTCTTTCCACAATCACACAGTTGGTAATTGTCTCACAAAAGCATGTAATCAGGGGGACAATGGAAATATGCAGGACGCTGGAGATTAGAGAAAAGGGGCTAATGAAGACAACAGGTCTAATGTTATTGAACTGCCACGGGCAAAAAAAATAAAAAAAATCAAAGGTTCTTAGAGTTAGTGCTTCAAGGTCAGTCTTGGATCAGAAAGCTATGTGTAATTAATTGGGGCTTAAATTTTAAGACCTACTTGGAAAATAAGTTAGATCTTTGAGAGAGAGAGACAGAGACAGAGAGAGAGAGAGAGAGAGGGAGAGAGAGAGAGAGAGAGAGAGGCCAACAGACAAAATCATCACCTTGCTACTAGTTAGTACCAAGAAGAAATGAAATTTCTTTTTACTTCCCTGTTTGGCTATATTTTTAAGAAGGCATTAAAAACCAAGCCACCACATATCATCGTGATGTTAAAAACTAAAAGGGCATGTTATGTTTGAATAAGCTTAGAACTGATCTACAGGTTATAAAACTAAGGAAATTTCTTGACTACAATATTGCCTCTCCCCAAAAGGGATTATGGGGTTGCAGAGATGGAAGAGTTGGCAAGAACACTCAACTATCTAAGCACGAGAACTTGAGTTCAAATCCCTAGAACCCATGCAAAAAATTGAGTATGGCTCCGAGTGCCTGTGCCCCTGGCACTATGGTGGACAAACAAAGGAGGATCGGAGGGGCTTGCTGAATGCCATTCTAGCTCCAGGTTCACTTAGAGAATTCTCAACAGAATAAGGAGGAGAGTGATGGAACAGAACATCTGATGTTCTCTAGCCTCTGCACACCCACACACACAAGCCTGCATATCTGCACTCAAGTATGTACACACACCACCACAACCAACACACACACACACACACACACACACACACACACACACACACCTCTCTCTCTCACACACACACATACACACTTTCTCTCTGTTTCTCACTCTATCTCCCTGTGTCTCTCTCACACACACACACACACACATATACCTCTCTCTCACCACTTTCTTTCTCTCTCACACACACTTTCTCTCTCTCTCTGTCTCTGTCTCTGTCTCTCTCCCTCTCCCTCCCCCCCCTCTCTCTCTCTCTCTCTCTCTCTCTCTCACACACACACACACACACGGGCTTGCTCAGAGAGGAGACTGAAATATGTGGAAATTACTCAAACACCAGAGCCCAGCATAAGCTGAGGACAGGCCAATAAATCCATAAAGCAATGGAATTTAAAGCAAAATGCTACAGCAACACAGATATCCCAGTTAGCTTTAACTGTCAACTTTACACAACCTGGGTGTGGGGTGTCGTTCAGGATGCTGCCAATATATGTTGCTTTTATTGGTTGATGACTAATTTTGACCAATGGCCAGGTAGAATACAGCCAGGAGGGAAATCCAAACAAAGTTACAAAGAAAAAGAAGATAGACTCAGGGAGATGCCCCCGTGTAGCTGCAGGGAAGCAAGATGTGAGATAATAAACCACGAGCTTTGTGGTAAAATATAAAATAATAGAAATGGGCTAATTCAGTTGTGAGAGCTAGTCAGTAATATGCCTGAGCCATTGGTCAAACATTTGCAAATAATGTTATGCCTTAGAGCGGTCATTTGGGAACTGGCAGGCGAGATGAGCAACCTCCAACTACACAACCTAGAGTTTCCTGAGAAGGGAGTCTCAACTGATTACCCAGGTCAGATCAGCCTATGGTGGATTGTCTTAATTATTAATTGATGTAGGAGGGCCCAGCCCACTGTGGGTGGCACCATTCCCTGGACAGGTGATCCTGGATTGTATAAGAAAGCCACTTAAGCCAGAGCAGTGCCATATACCTTTAATCCCAGCCCTTGGGAGGCAGAGGCAGGTAGACCTCTGTGAGCTCCAGGCCAGCCAGAGCTGCAAGGGTGAGGCAATGGGGTGGTGGGGGAGTGGTACTTATGCTCCAGCAACCGTAGAGTAAGATCACACAGGGGCGGGGTCTGCCAGGGAAGGGGTGGTGCTCCAGGAGCAGTAGAGTCTGCCAAGGAAGGGGTGGTGCTCCAGACAGGGTCTACCAGGGAAGGGGTGGTGCTCCAGACAGGGTCTGCCAGGGAAGGGGTGGTGCTCCAGAGGGTGGGGCACACATATGAGGAACAAGGAGGAAGCGAAAGCAGAGGGCTATTAGTAAACACAATACAGACTTCAGGTTCTAGACCGACACCGTGAGAAGCACAGACATGTCCTGGCATGACACAATCAGACCTGTGACCTAAGAAAGTCACCCTGATAATGTGATGCAAATGGCTAGAGTGGAGATGGCAAAGGGGTCAGAAAGAACCTTATACAGATCTGGATTTGCAGTTGTGCAAGTTCAGGAGATTATCTGGAATCTGCTGTGCTCAACACTATGAGGCACAGGGGGCCATAATCCAGACTAGTTTCAAGTCCTTCTCTCATGGCTGCTACCCTAAAAGCTCTGTTCATGGGCTCTGAATCAGCCATTGGTATCTCTGCCCAGTGCCCAAGACCTTCTTTCAGCCCATCGCACGCGGCTCTGCAGACCTCCGTTTCCAGCAACTCTCAAAGTGCTGTGCATTCTACCTTCCTGGCTAGACGGCCAGGTGCCTACTTCCCAAATCCATCTATCTAGACAGCTGTCACCCTGTCTGAGTCTCCTGGTCTAAGGCATCAACATTCCTCTGCCCAACGGCCATTCTTGTCTTTGTTCTTCCCAAAGTTCAGCCAGAGTGACTGTCAGCAGAGACAAATCTCACTGCATCCCTACAGCAAACTTCTGCCATTCTGAGGAGAAACATCAGCATCCTTACCACTGCTTTGGGAACCTCCTCCCTGGCTCCTGAGTCAAAGGCGCAGAATGTTCGGTTTTACGGTACTAGAAGCTCCTTCCCTGCTTTGGACCTTTGAACCTACAGCTATGCTGTCCGGGCAACTTTCACACCAAACACCCCTCTCACTGATGTTTCAAAGCAACTTGAATGTTGCCTTCTGACCCCAGCAGTCCACCATCATAGTTCCTTAGAAATATGTGCTTGCTTCTTTGATGTGGGAGGTCCTTTGTATGCTACAAATATGTGTTGCTTTTATTGGTTGATGGATAAAACTGTTTTGGTCAATGGCCAGGCCAAATATACCTAGGTGGGAAATCCAAACAGAGTTTCAGAGAGAAGGAAGCAGAGTCGGGGAGACGCCATGTAGCTGCCAGAAAAGCAAAATGTGAGGTAACAAGCCACAGACCGCGTAGTGAAATATAAAATAATAGAAATGGATTAATTTAGTTGTGAGAGCTAGTTGGTAATATGCCTGAACCACTGGCCAAACAATTATAATTAATATCAATGATTATTTAATAAGCAGCAGTGGGGACCGGCAGGCAGGAGAGGAACCAGTCCACTTGGACTGGGAGAGACAGAAAAACCTCCAATGTCACTTCTTCCCACAGTGTTTCCCAAAGATTGTATTAAATGATATCACATTTACAAGGACAGTCATTTGTTTACACCATGTCTAATTATACCAGAATCCTCAAATGACCTGTTCCCAAACAAAAGTGTACTTCTTAAAACTCTCTCTTTGTGGTGACAGTGATGTGTGCATACTTGAGCTCCTCTAGACAATAAGCTATAGGAAGGCAACTACCATTATTGAATTCCTTCTTGTGGTTGTTCTTCACACTTCTCTCCCAGCAGTCTGTTCAGAGAGCTCAGCAAACATCAATTACTGACGAGCGGCCCACAGTCACCCCTTTAAAGGAAACGGAACACATGCCAAACTTACCTGCTTCTGGCTGAGTTGCCTTTTCTTTCTTAGCACCGCTGCCACTGGGATGAGATCGTTTCCGGATCATGGACATGAGGGATCTTCAGGAAGGAGAAAACGATTCCAAAGAAATTAGTGGCTGCCTTATTGTCCAACTGATAAAATGAATAGTTTGCTTCATTTTTGGTTTTCTTTTGTTTATTTGAGACAGGGTTTCTCTGTATAGACCTGGTTGTCCTCAAACACATTCAGAGATCCACTTGCCTTTGTCGCCCATGTCCTGGGATTAAAGGTGTGTGCCACTGCCACCAGGCTAAAATTGATATCTCTAAATGGTCAGTGATAACCCAACTCTCCTATACACACATGATTTCTCAACTAAGAAGCCTGCTTTCTGCTTTTGTTAATGTTACTGTTTTCATCAGCTTATATTTTTAGTTGGGTGCCTGGCCTTTAATGGCTGAGCTACCCTCCCAGCCCTCATCAGCTTACAGAAAAGGAAAACGGCTTAGTTTCCTCAATACAACTCTGAAAACTAGAAGTGAGACTGACAGTCACCATCAATGCACACAGCTTTATAAAAGGAGATGGATGAGGAAAATTTTCACACCTGTATATAAAATACAGAACTAATTATACAAGAAGTACTGGTTACCTATGAAGTACATTCCAGACACAAGGAAGGGTTAAAGAATTAGGGAGTGTTTGGTGCAAAATAGCAGTATAGACAGGGAATGTGGTATTCTCATTTAGCGAGTGTGGGTTGTTGCTAGATTTCTTTCCTGCCTGGACCCACAACCAACCACCTTGCCCCAAATGAACACACAGATGCTATATTAATTATAAAACTGTTGGCCGATGGCTAGGGCTTCTTATTGGCTAGCTCTGTCTTAATTATTAACCCATAACTACTAATCTATGTATTTCTACATGGTCTTATCTTACCAGAGACCACCTGGCACATCCTATATTTCCAGTCTCTACATGGCGTCCCCTTGACGTCTCTCTCTGACTACCTGTCTCAGAATTCTCATCTCCTAGTCCTGCCTATCTTCCTACCTCTATTGACAAAACAGTGTTTTATTCACCAACCAATAAAAGAAACATATATAAAGAAGGACATCCCCCATCAGTGGACCTCTCTGGTCAATCTTAGCAGAGCAGGGTATTTCCATCCGTAAACATTTGCTCATGAAACAGGAGTATAGAATATCCAACTCTGCACAGGTACTTGGGGACAGAGCATATCTGCACAGCTGTCTCTCCAGCTTAGGTTTTTAAAAGCACACATAAAACCTAAATTATGATCAACTGGACCACACTGAAGCTTAACAAAACCATGTGCCATTAAAATGCATTATGAGGAATGAAAAGGCAAACTAGCAAAGTAGATACATGAATTCTACAAGTGAAATCAAACACAGAATACAGTCCAATAAAAAAATTGATAAAAAAACTAAAAAAAAAAAAAAAAAAACTCTAACATTATCTCACAGAGCCCATGAGCCAGTGACTCCACTGGTAGCTATCTTACAGAAACACAAGCCTGTGTGTACCAGGTATGTGTACAAGAGATTTCACACAGACTCTCTACAGTTCCCCTAGCCTGCGGATACTACAGCCTCTGCCGGCATCACACTGGACACATGCACACCTTGACACATGCATGAGATGAATAGTGCTTGATTTCACCCACATAGCACAACATAGAGAAGCTTCCAGAATAATGTGGAATAAAACACAAAGGACGTGGGAAAGTCAGTTGTAGAAAGTTGAAAAAAAAATTGGGCCTTATTGGTTTGCAGAATAACTTCGATATGGGTTCCCATTCCTTAGCACTGAAAAACTCAATGTAAAAAAGTCTATTTGCTTCTGTATGGTACCATTTCTTCATAAAAAGTTTATGAAGGACCAGTGAGAGGGCTCAGTGGGTGAAAGCTCTTGCTTCACAAACTCGATGCCCTGAGTGTGATATCAGAACCCAAGGCAGGAGGGAAGATGGTCCCAAAAGTTTTCCTTTGAAACCATGCGCATACCATAGCATGCATGCTCACACACATACAATTAAAAAAACAAAAGTTCATCCTCCAAAATATTATTTAATTATTAATGCCCCGTGTGGCAAATTCTGATGGGTACAACAGCCCTAAGAAAGGTGAACTGGAAGGAAAGGTGAAGAAACAGGAGAGATGGCTATACAGGACAAGCCTATCGTGCTGTTTATTTATAGTGCTGGAAATCTAACCCAGGACCTCACACTGCCGGCCTCATCTGCCACTGGGCCACATTCCCGGCCCCTAGTGTTTCTTAGGTATTACATTTTTTACTTCTGCATTTGGCTATATTAACTAATTCACTTTTGAATTGCTGCCCTTAAAATTACCAGGCACATTGGGCGACCTCCCCCAGAGCAGAGTGAGAAGCATCACAGCCCCCTCCCTCCCTTAACATTTTTCTTCACTACTT